GGATTCTGGAAGTGTTGATGATGACTTCGATAGCAGTGATGATTCTGTGTGTGACTCGGGAAATTATTATCAAAGGAAAATAAAGTATGATAACCATTTGAAAAGTAAAAATAACATGCTGGCAGTCTACACTGAAATTGATGAAAGCCATCCAGGAGAAGTGTGGTTGCAAGGACTTATGGAAGATGAATATTCAGACTTGAGCATTGAAGAGAAGCTGAATGCATTAGTGGCTTTGATTGATCTTCTTAGCGCTGGTTCCAGTATCCGAATGGAGGTAAACCAGTTTCATCTGGCCAAGTTGACATTCTCTTCCACCGCCTTTCTCCTCTTCACCTCCATAAAATTGAAATAAAAATAAATAAATAAAAGAAAGATTGAAAAAACTCCTCTTCTGTGCCCTTGTTTGGTATGTCTTGCTTCCGTGGTCACTATTCTTTTTCAAATGTATCTTTCTTTTCTATATTTTCCTTGAGGACCCATGATCTCTGCAATGGTTATTTTGGATAAAATATTTACATCAAATATAAACTAGCAACTGCCTTCTTTACTTCCTAGCATTTTCAGGGTTTTAGGTTTTTGTTCTTACCTTGCTTAAATGTTTCTTGTTCTATTATGAGGTTATGAATTTTCCATAATTCCGTACCTGTTAGAGTCTCATATTACTCATTATTTCATTTTTCAGAATCCTAGTAAAGCCATTGTTGAGTTTGTTCCCAGCATCCCTCGCTATGGTTCTGGAGCAAAGATTAAGAGATCATCAACTCGACAGAATTTTCCTAGGCCATCTTGGGTCTATGGTGGACAAGAACCACACACACCATCAGACTCTTTCCCGGTTGACTCGTCAGCAGTTGCAAAGTTTTTTGAAAAAGAAAAATGTTCTTGCAGTGGAAAGGATGCAAAACAAACTGAAGTAGGAGTTTATATACACCCAATGCAATCTGTTTTTTTGGGCTCTGATCGTAGGTACAACAGATATTGGCTTTTCTTGGGCCCTTGTAATGGTTATGACCCTGGACATAGGAGAATTTACTTTGAATCTTCTGAAGATGGTCACTGGGAAATCATAGACACTGAAGAGGTAACCCTCCCAGCTTATCATAATGGGTGTCTGTTGCTTCATTTGTTATACGATTGGTTAAATTTCGTCTCATTCTTTTTTAAGAACATTGCCTTTCCATTATAAGTGAACTCTTTATCCAAAGATAAGATACTTAACCTGAGAGAAAATCTAGAGTTCTTTTCAGTTTTCCTTTTGCAGACATTGGAGTGATTGTTCTCATCTAAACAAACTTTTTACTGTTATTATTTGTTTGTCTCTTACCACGGTGCAGGCTTTGCGGTCCTTGTTGGCAGTTTTAGACGACAGGGGTAAACGTGAAGCTCTTCTTATTGAATCATTAGAGAAACGGGAAACTTCACTTCGTCAAGAAATGTCAAGCAGACATTTATGTGATGCAGAAATCGGGCACATGCAGTCTGGTTCACCTGAGATGGATGCAGCAAGAGAAAACAGTTGTTCTCCTGTTTCTGATGTTGACAACCTAAGCTTGACAGTGGCTGCGAATGAATCTTTAACCTCGTGCAGTGCTATAGTTCTTCATACTGGGAAGAAGGGAGAAGAACATAAACAAATGTGGAAACGTCTTCAAGAACTTGATGTGTGGATATGGAATTACTTTTACTTGAACCTTAATTCTGTAAAACACAACAAGCGTTCTTATCTTGATTCGCTTACCAGATGTGAGAGTTGTCATGATTTGTACTGGAGAGATGAGAAGCATTGTAGCATTTGCCATACCACATTTGAGATTGATTTTGATCTAGAAGAAAGGTATGCCATCCATGTAGCTACGTGCAGAGAGGGAGGAGACAACACTACTTTTCCGAATTTCAAAGTCCTACCATCACGGTTGCAATCACTGAAAAGCTGCAGTCCATGCAATTGAGGTGCATTTCATTTCTTTATTGCTTTTTGTCTTGCTAACTTTCTTTATAAAACTAAATCATCATATATTACATCATATGAAAATAAATAACACAGGCACATGCCTAAATTCCATGCATTACTATTATATAACATAGTATGCATATGCATGCTCATCTTTCTTTTACCATCGTCTTCTTTTTGCCAAGGACTGTTGTTCAGGGCACATAAAACTCATACCATTGTCTCATTGGTTTTTTAGTTTCTTTATATATTTTATTAATTCTACTTGCATATTTGAAAACAAAAATGCCAACTCTCTTCACAAGAAATAAAATGGGTAATGAAGTCTCGCTGTCCCACTATCTTTTTGTGAAAACGGTGAAGGAAACTTTTAGTGCATTATGATACTTAATCTTTGAAACACATTTAAGCTATTTAAGGGAGCAAATTGTTTAATGTTTATTAACAAATTATGTATTTTAAAATGTTTGGTTTCATGGGAAGTCCGTTGTATCTTTCCTTTCTTTAGTAGAACATGTGAAAATTCAGTATTGTGTACAATTCATTTATATATGTAAAATATTTAAAAGGAGAACAAACTTTATTCGATTATTTTTATTTAACCATTGTGTCCATTTCCCCCCTTACTTTCTATGCAGTCATTTATGCCTAAAGATTCTTTAGTTGGTGCTTGGACAAAGTCTGCTCACAGGTTGTGGGTAAAAAGGTTACGACGGACATCGTCTTTGTCTGAGCTTTTGCAGGTAGTCTTTTTTTTTAATTACATGCTTAGAGTTGTTCTTGAAGTAGTGTGGCAAATTTTTTATGCTGACCCAAATTATAAAATGGACCATCTCAAATCTTGTTTGCAGGTTGTTGCCAATTTTGTTGCAGCGATTAATGAGAATTGGTTGAATCAATGCCAAATTGCACAAAGGGGTTGTACTATTATTGAAGAAATCATAGCATTCTTTCCAACCATGCCCCAAACATCATCTGCACTTGCACTCTGGTTGGTGAAGTTGGACGAGTTCATTGCATCATATTTGAAGAAGGTTCATTCTGAAAGGAACTAGGAAATGGGACCAGATCAGGTATATTTCTTTATCTACAAAGTTTCTTTACATGTGTGGTGCTCTGGTCATCAAAGTTGAGCATCTTGTTTCTTTCTATTCACTACATGGATTGTTTCTTTTTATTCGAATGAAGATTCGATCATGCTATGTAGAATGTGATTGTCATGTATTTTTATTTCTCAAATACAAGTAGTTGATATTTGAGTTTGTGAAAATCACACTGGACCTTTCCTTATGCTAGTTGATGCTGATGGAAATTTCTTATTAAGCAGAGAATATTTCTAGCAGTTTAGGTTTTAGCTTTGGTAATGTTTTCGAGAATTAACCTTGAATCTTGGTTCTAGCTGCTAGCTAGTTCTCCTGGAATTTCTTCCAGGCAGGACAATATTTGCTCTATCTTAACATAAAGGAAACTAGTGCCAATCAAATTAAGCACACTTACATCCCATTTTAAATGTAGTCTTGATGATGGATAGGAAAAGATAAGAAATGTAAAATTTGTTTGTTGCCAAATGTTTGTCTCTATTCTGTTCTTTACACGTGACAAAGGCTGACTTGTTTATATTCAATTTGTATCTTAAGAGAAACTATAAGGATAACATCGGCCATAGTGGCATTGAGGCTGGTTATTTTGAACTATGCATCTGTCCGTCTTGTTTTTCGTATATTTTTGTCGGTGTTTGGAGGTGTAATCAGCCTTGGCGACTAGTTATATGTTAATTTTTACTTAAACAAGATTGTGATTGTGAAGTTGATTGTTTAGGCAGTTATCATCTTTAGAATCAATGGAACGAATTTAGAGTAAGAAAAAAAGTCGTATTTTGAAAGGGAAATCATTCACCCTTTGAGCTTTGTATCATGTTTCATTTTATTTTGTGTGCTTAGGATGTGGAAAATAAACAGTTGTCCTCGTTTCATAGTTTCCTCAGAACTTTCATGATTTCAATATCTATGTGCATGCTCTTCCATTCCAGATCCTTTTGCAGATTAGCATGCGTCTTATATTTTAGAATTAATAAGTTCTTTAATCTTTAGCGTATTTCAGATAGAAGAGCAGCAGATGAATAAAGCCATCTATTTTCAGGGCATGTACAAATGGAGAGCGCATTTGGCTTTCTTCTTTCTCTTTGCTCTTCAAAGTACTGAACCGACCTCGGTTATTATTCCGACCGAGTATTCATCAGTGGGAGCTTTCTTTGATGCATTAGAAGTTTAGTTTGGAAAGATGAAAGCAGAAAAACGTTATGAGACTGTACAGGGCAGGGTTTCGAGTAAATTTTCATTTTTTTGAATAATCCTCCTTTGCTTAGATGATGTACAGGGTTAGAGGTACATACATATATGCCCAGGGAAATCAAGTGTTTTTTTTATACAATGGGAACCCAAGTTAGTTAAATTGTTACCTTTTCTTCCTATCTTTGTTCATGGTAGAAAAATGAATGTTGCAGTAAAAATCTCATTTCATTGACCTCGAATATCCAAACCTAACATTTAATTTGGAATAAAATGCTATCAGTTTATGTGGCTGAATGACATACTTTAAGAAGCTCCATTTTCAATTTTTTTATAAGGTCCATAATCATGGTTAATCATGCTGACGTGTCTACTTTTAATTTCCCTCGTGGTTATATAACATTACGGTTAAAAATTTCAATTCTTGCTTTTGTTGTTCTAAGGTAATATTATACAAATCAGTGTTTGAATTTGAGTATTTATATAATATTTTATATACGTAGTCATTTGTTAGGTGGAGGGACTATAACCCCTCTTAATATTTTTGATAGAATAATATTTTAAGTCTATATTAGTTTGAATATTAGTCTAATAAAAAATTTATTCTTTTATTTTTGAAATTTAAATACTCATTAAATCTTTATTTTTCCCAACATTTAATACCAATTCCGTCCTGTTTGTATTTTCAAGACATCAACAACAGATCATTTCTTAACCATGACATCAACAACTTTTAGACTTAATTTCTTCAAACAAACAACATGAAAACCTCTGTTTCCCTAAATCATTACACCATCTGTTGGTATTTTGAAGACATTCATTGTATCAAGATGGATGTTTAAGAAGCTTCACCGTCTCCAAAACAGCTGAAAAATCAACGTCCCCCAACCCCATGCTTCTGCCCTTCTTGAAAGCCTCATTGGCTGCTGCTGCTACCGGCATTGATACTGCATTTTGATCCCCAAGTGCAAGAGCCAACCTCATATCTTTCTGCTGATGTTTCAATGGGAATGCAGGCGAATAATCGTCTCGAAGCATTGCCGGCCCCTTCCCTCGAAACATCGGGTTAGCAATGCCACCCAGGTCCTGCATGGAACATTGTTCAGGGCACTGCAAGTTTCAATGTGGTCACAACTTGATACATTATTTAGATCTGTCAATCTTACCAACACATCAAGAAGGTCGTGCGGATTCAATCCGCCTCTCTCGGCCAACACAAGTCCTTCCGAGAACGCGTTCATCACACTGCAGAGAAAGAAAACGAATGTCCCGATCAAGTACTTGGATTTGTCAAGTTAAAGAAAGATGGAGCAAGACATTTACCTGCCCATTATCATGTTGACAACAAGTTTCATTTTTGCACCGTTACCAATTTGTCCCAAGAAGAATGACTTCTTCCCCAAGACATTGAAAGCTGGACCTGCTTCTTCATACAATGCCTAAATTTACGGTGGGAACATATTGCAGTTAACATAAAAAACATACATGATTATTGTACACATAAAACGCATACAAAACAGAGAAGCTGTGTATCAATTTACCTTATCCCCAGCAGCAAGAATGACCAGTTGACCAGTTTCTGCAGGCTGTTTGCTACCCGAAACAGGTGCCTCGAGGAAGTGACCGCCTTTGGATGTAATCGCCTGTAGATATCCCACCGAAGGAATCAGTGTATCCATTCATCCATAGGTAAATCAGTTCATATGAGAATACCAAAGAGTAAAAAATCCTCAACAATTATAAGGTCTGCATTCGTGTTATTCGATGCCTATTCAGATTCAAGTATGGAAGAAAAACTTATACGAATTAAGCTTATCTACGATGAACACGTACTTGTACCGGACACTAAACTTGACCCTCTCAATTTGTAAGTTTCAGACATAAAAGAAACAGCATAAATGAAGAAATTACATGCTAACCTCACTGATTTTGCAAGAAGTCTGGGGATCAACAGTCGACATGTCAATATAACCTTTACCATTGCAAATTTGCTCAAGAACACCATCTTTGTCAAATACAACCTTAAAAGCAATCATCAAAATGCACATATCATATGGTAATGACAGTAAATTCGAAACTGTAAATAAAAAAATTGTTAACAATTGATTAATTACAGAAAGAGCAGCAGCAGGGTCAGATAAAATGGCAATGGTGATCTTGCATTTCTTAACTACTTCTGCAGGTGTTTCTCCAACTGAGGCACCATGAGCCACAACTTCATCACACTGCAATATATATATATAGAAACAAACAAATGACGCAAACCCATCAATCAGATCTTAAAACCGAAACGAACTGCAACTGGATATGATAATATTCCAAAGAAAAGTAAAGAAACACCAGATGAAGAAGAAAAAAGATATATTTTTGTTACTTTGGTAGTGTAATGAGAAGTTTTGGAGAGAAAAAACCTTATAAAGAGTTCTGTTCCAAACAGTGACTTTGAATCCATTCTTCAGCAAGTTCATGGACATGGCTTTGCCCATTATTCCCAGTCCCAAGAACCCTACCTCCATCTTCTTCTTTCACAAATGAACCTTTTTCTTTCACAGTTCATGTAAGCCTGCCTATATAAATAACAAAAACAAAGCATTAGCATTGTTTTAGCTCCATTAAAAATACTACCATAAAATCACCATCATCCTCGTCACCCCATTGATATTTTTAATATAATTAATTTGCTTTGATTATTACTTTGATAGTGTCTGGTAAATTAAATACTTCCATCTTTGGAAATTAACGTGTTGTCGTTTAGTGGATAAACTGATGCGTTTCAACGTAAGGAGCTTTTTTTGGATTATTTTCGCGGATCACCCGGACCCGTATGGTAAATAATGTGACAAGTCCATATATTTGATAAAAGTGATTTCGTAAATTGGAGTCTTATTAGGTATAATTGGTTAGTTAAAGGGGTCGTGTATTATATTGTTCATTCTTCGAGGGTATATTGTCTATTCACGTACTTATTAAAGAGTTCAATCTATTATTAAAGTTAACCAAAATGAATAATTAAAATAAACAATGATATGCTTGGGGATAATACGTTGAAATCAATTCTGTTTATGACATGTATATTGAAGCTACGACATGCATGATGATAATGTATTATGAATATTGAGGTGCATCTTGATGATATGATATAAGCAAATAGAATATGTTATGGAGATTTTGTTGTTGTTTTTTTTTTAGTTTGGAGGGCTTCATTCTGATTAATTCAGATTTAACTCGTGCCGTACACTTGATTTTGGTGGGTGAGTCTCTCAATAAGGATTTTTTGCATACGCAATAATTCGAACTCAAGACTTACTTAAGCAATATCAAACTCCTTATCACTTGAAACAGTCTCATTAGTGCAATTTTATTGATTAATTAACAAAATCACCTTATGAATAATTTAGAAAATGTAATGGGAATTATGTTTAACTGTATTTTATTTCATCCATTAGTGTACGGATCTCTACGATATGATTAATTATAATTTCTAAGATAATTTATATTACCTCAAACTTTAAAGATTTACTAAATCTTAAAAGAAATTGGATTTGAATATCTAATTTAGATTTAGTGATTGATCTTATGTTCTAAAAGAAAAGAAAATTTCTAATTTAATTATATTTTTATTTCGAATCTGGTATACCTTTTAGATCATGTAAGAGGCGTTACAAGTGATCAAAGTTCAAACATAAACAACAATGAGTCATAAGAGAAAACACCCTACGAGATAAGGACATCAATGTCTGGAATTTGCCCAATTTGCTATTACTACTATTTTCTTATTTTTCTTTGAACTTTTTTGGGGGGTTAAGGTTGTGATTGGACGACCAATTTACTGCTATTTTCCCATTTCTTAAATTTATTTTCAGCTATAACAAAATGAAATATTGACAAACCAGTGGTGTATGAGTACCATTGATGACTGAACAATAAAAATTTGTCAAGTATGAAAATGACGGTATTGGGGACAACACCCATTGGCTTGTCAAGCTTTCCTTCGTCTACCTCATCTCTCAGTTGCAGGTCCAGACTCACCTCTTCTTCATTCTCTTCCACCCTGTCAATGCTACTTCATTACTTATTTGCTACAATTTTGTATTAATCATACCTCATCTTTAAACAAGTGTTATTCATCTTAACATCCTTTTATCAGCAGGTTGGGGCCGGGAAATCGATTGTTTCCCGCGGTTGTGTCTCCTGTCCGCTGTTCAAGAATCTTCTTCTCCTACAGGTAGCTTTCCCCATTGTTATCTGTGCCGGTGAAAATCCTTCTCAACTTAATTTGTTGCTTTTCTGCTACATAGCCACTGCTAAAACAAACGCGACAACAACTCCTGCTGAAGCAAACCATCAGCCGCCGCAGCTGGTGGTGAGGAGGAAGAGAAGGCAGCCCCAAAAGCAGCTCCAGTAAAACCCCAAGCTGCTGCAAAAGCTCCTGCTAAAGCACTGCCGGAGTTGATGTTGGAGGAAGCCATCCCTTCATTGAAAACAATACTTGAAACTCAAGATGATATCTCTGAGATTGACCTCACTTTCCAAGACAACAAGGCAGTCTTTCTGCTCTATTTTCACTCTAAAACTAACCCATGTGAAACCTTATCTGATGGGGTTTATGAATATCTTCGAACTTGGACAGTTGGAAGGTTCATTCATGAAGGAGGGCTGTCCCTGCTCGTTCTGGGCCTTTTTCCCTGATGGTGTCCTTGCAGGTATTATAATTTAGACAAATTGGAAACAAATTATCATTTCCATTTACTGTACTAATGATTTCCACCATTTGCATAAGTCCAAAAGGTTTCTCCTTGTCTTAATATGGTTCAGGAGCAAGCACTGTGGAGCCATTCCTTGTTGATGAGAAGACAATTACAGCGAGGCATGTAGTTTTCTGGGTTGAAAAGCGTTTGGCAGCCCAAGCAAACATCCCTGTCTGGAAAGAGTGAATTTTATAGAATTTCGCATACAAAATTTTCCAATTCATTTCTGCTAGAAAAAGAATTATAACTCCCATCGTGATGTAAATCCTCGAGCTATAGTAAAAGTTGGTTAAGAATGGCATTACAGCTTTAATTTCTGAATTGTTCATTCCAGCAGTCATTCTCCCATCGCGATGGAACATCGGTTTTACAATAACAAAAGCTCACATTTGATAAGAGAGATTTGCATTCATCAAAAACCGTACAAGTCCAACAACAACATGCCTCTCTCCGATTATTGTCTCATAAAGGGAAAGAGAATTGCAAAGTAATATAACATTGTATAGCTTACATAGCTCGTAACATTTTCATCTAAATTACATGTCCAAGGCGCCATGCTTTAACATTAAATAACATCATTTCATGGCCCATATAAGCAACAATTGATTTCAGTAACTAATAAACACATGCGACAGGTACTTTTGAGTGCAAAGTTCATAAATTATAAGTCCACATCCGCATTCGCCGCACTTTGTCTGTAGTTAGTTGTTCGGCATTGGCATTTTGAATTGCACGAAGTTCAGCTAAGAAATCCATCTGTGAGCTTGATAAAGGTCAAGCAGTGTTTGTTGGGGACATCATCTACGGAAAAATCAAACCAAATGCACAAGGAAAGAGGGCAGTGAGATTTGGAAGAAGAAGAGAGGTAGGGAAGTACGTGAGGGAAGAATACCTGATGGGGAAGTCTGAAATTCCTCCAGGCTGAATCACTACTTCCAGAGTACAGAACAGGTCTTTCTGAACCAAGAGAACCACAGTAAGACTAAAACCATCTGGTGTGGTCCTTTAACTCAATAAATGAAGGAGCTATCCACCATTACATGAGAATGGGACGAAAGCAAGACATAAGGTGAAACAGGGTACACCAAAAAAAAAATAATGGCATGAAAGGATGCTAAAGACGACACTCCCAAAGCCCATAACAACAGGCAGCAAACACAGAACCGCTTACACTAAAATCTAAAGAAAAGAGCAACTTTCAGCTCATTGCTAGCTTTCTTTAACATCTTAATATCAGTTAAATTTTTGCATGCCCTTAAAAACCAAGATCTGGACTAGGAAGCCATGATCAAAAATTATAGAGGGAAACCCATGGCTAAACCCAGAAAAGTTTTATTTTTAAACTGAAATTAGAAGATGCTGCACTTCAATGGGGGAAGAGAGTTGAGGAACAGTGATAACATCAAGGATAGCCAAAAATCAACTGTTGGGAACATATGAAAGGGAAGATGTGGAAACAATTTCTACCAGCAGATTACGCTATGAAAGAGAGAATTTTAAGTCAATAGATCACCACACTATAGAATTTAATATTCTGTCCATTAGAGTTGGTTTGAATGAGACTATTTAACAGCTAACAGCTTGCTATTTTGCAGGTTTGCATTAGAGTATTAGAGACGAAATGGAGGTGGTTCATGTCTACAACTTAGAAGATGCTCGCCAATGTGCCTTACAAGCTGAGAAGCAAGTTTTGCCTTATGATGCAAGTAGACCTTTATCTAATAGGGAAGATGACATTCCCAAGGCAGTTAAAGAGGTAAAGAAATTGTGTCTTCAAGCAAGCTCTATGGCGGAAATGCAATAGAAACTAACAAAGGTTAAGGAAGAGTGACCTACAGGGTGAAACAGAATCCAACTTCAGTAAGGTAAGCAGTGGAAACTCGTGTTCTTTGTGATTCTAAAGTATGTGAAGCCATTATCGACAGTGGGAGTACGAATAAGTATATCTCTAATTAGCTGGTGTACCTAATCTAGTCACTAAAACTATACCCTTCTTATCATGCAAATAATGTACCACTGCAAGATTTGCTCCACAGAAGGGATCACCAAGCCAATCAAATCAAACTTAAAATGGGAAATTTATCAAGTCAAATCCAATTTTTCCACTCACCAGACAAATCAATAGATGTATCATGATAGCGATGTAAGGCAGCTGCCCAACCTGCATTTGCGGGGATAAACAATGAATGTATATCAACCATATGATTGCATTCATGGATTCGTAAAAATGTTTTGAAATTCTATCCAACAAAGGTTATACTAGTCAAACAAGCATAGAAGAGGGAAGTGGATTTCCTAAGCTCCACCCAACTACCCTTTAACCTTCACCACTTAACCAACCAGGAAAAGTCTTCCATGAAACTAATTAGGCTTCAGCAAAATACTCTAGTATCTGAATTGATCATGCCCTAACCCGGAACCAAAGAAAAAGAAATCCTCTGACTATAAGTTGAATAGTTCACCTAAATGTAATGATGCACTTGAGCAGAACACTACAAGATAAGAAAATCAATAACTCTCACTTCACGGACATAATGTAATGACCAATGTTGGAAGACTACAGAAACAAGGGCAGCCTTCTTAATAAAAGTATACAAAATATTCAAAGTGTGTAGAGACATCGTACGATTGCTCAAAAGCCGAGAAGCGTCACTTCTAGAACAGCCTTCTAAAGGTATTAAAGCAGGACGACGATGCTCTTCATTCAAGATAGCGCTGCTTCCGGAATCCCCAACCAGATTATTGTTTCTCACGGCACCTTGAATCTTCTCTGAATCATTCCCATAAACATTGTTAGTCCAATCAAACCAATCTGCAAGGTTTAATTACAACTCAGTCTACCAAATGAATGAAAATTAAAATCATTCTTATATAAACAAACCACCAGAAAAAAAGGAATGATTAATGAAGAAACTAACCTCCAGATTTACAGCGCCCGAGAGAACGATTTCTGCAATTTTGAGGCAAAATTAAAAAAAAGGAAACGGGAGATGTTAATAAAAAAAGAAGGGGGGAAAGTTTAGGGTTAAGAAGTCACCGTTGATTAGGAGGAGCGTAGCGTTTGATTGCAGGGGCGGCATCGGGTGCGGTGGGTGTAGGGTTTTCCAACATCCTCCTCTCCCCTCTCTTCCTTTACACCGCCGCCTAAGGATGGGGGATTGCAGATTCCGGAGTTTGATTCGCCATTGAGTCGCGGCAGGTAATTTAAGGCTGACTTTTGGTTAAAAAGCGTCTCGTTGCTTTTTATTCGATCAACTCCTCACCAAAACGCCCCCGTTTCTTATAATTTCCAAATTCTCATACAATCCAACCCAAGAAAAAAAAGAAAGTAAAAGGCCGATATTTATTGTTTTATTTATTTATTTAAATTTCATTCATTTATTTTATCATAAAGTACTAAAGAACAAAATAAAAAATATATTTTTTTAAAAATAAACTATCTCAACGTTCATTAAATTTTGAGTAAATTTCTTTTATTAAAATTTTAAAAGTTATAAAATGATTACTAATATAATCATTTTTTAACAAATTAACCATTTAATCATTAATAATCTTTATCATAGACACATAAAATTGATGTGGCACATTTGATTAGTTTACTTGATGTCGTTTAGCCACATCAAATTATATAATTTACAGACCCTTTGACTCTCATAGATATACCAGTCGTTTAGATAAAAGGGAAATTAAAGAGAAATGAATGAAATTAAAAAAGATAAATCCAAAGAATAGGTTCATTTAATCAAATTTATCATAGAAAAGGAAAATATATATATATGTTTCAGAAAAATAAAGCGTTATATTCTATCATTTGTATAAGAAAAGAGAGGCTTTAACAAGGGAGAATATGAGGGTTTGGAGCAAATACGAGTGATTAAAAGAGAAGTTTATTCAAGTTCTATTTTTTAATTCGACTCAAATTTAATTTTTTAATCAGTTTAGTTTATGTAATTATGAGTCTAGTTGAAAATTTTATTTTTTTAATCGAGTCGAATTTTATTCATCCTAACAATAACAATAATAAAATGATTAAAAGGAAAACACCTTTAGTTCGGAAATTCTAAAATACAATTTATTAATATAAGGCTAAAAAAAAGGTAGAAATCGGTTGTAACCGAAAATCTTATATAGAGTATAACTTTTAAAGTTGTTAGAGTAACATTTTAAGTTGCAACAGAAAATGTTATAAATTTGTATAACTTTTTCGATTGTAAATTCTAAACTCCTTAAAGTAACTTTTTAGTTGTAACCGGAAATGTTACAAATTTATGTAATCTTTTAAGTTGAACATGATAACATTTTAAATTAAAATTTATCTTAAATTAACTTTAAATTAAACTTTCATATAACAAAACAAATTCGCTTTAATTCCCCTCGTGGAAGATACAGTATAACGTTTATCTGACAATATCCAGATTTTTTTGCTTGAGACCGTCACCTGACCGAGAATAAATCATGGAAAAGAGCAATGGTTGAGAGTCAGCCAAGTGGAATTGGGGATTCATTTGTCAGCTACACCCCTCTTTATCCATTTTTAATCCTCTCCCCTGTGAACTGCCCCTTGGGGATAGATAAGTCACAGATAATAAGAGAACATGAGAGGATCTCTTTTACTTATGAGGTTGAATTTGTTAAAAGTGATATTAGATGGCCATCTCGGTGGGATGCCTTTTTGAAGATGGAAGGTGCACGTGTGCACTGGTTCTCAATTCTAAACTCTCTGATGGTGATCACTTTGCTTGCTGGTATTGTGTTTGTCATTTTCTTGAGGACAGTGAGGAGATTTGACAAGGTACGAGAAACTGGGCAAAGAAGCTCAAGCAAATGAATGTGGAGCTTTCTGGATGGAAGCTTGTTGTAGGTGATGTCTTCAGAGAACCGGATTTTTTCGAAGCTTCTTTGTGATGATTGGAGATGGAGTCTAGATTATGGGAATGGCAGATGTCACTGTCATTTTTTGTGCCTTCGGTTTCATGTCGCCTGCTTCACGAGGAATGCTACTGACAGGGATGATTATTCTTGATCTTTCTTGGGTATCGTGACTGGGTATGTAGCTGTACGTCTCTGGAGAACTATCAAGGGAACTTCAGAAGGATGGAGGTCTGTTTCGTGTAGGTTGCGTGCTTCTTTCTTGGAATTGTCTTCGTTATCCTTTCGGTATTGAATATTATTCTCTGGGGCAGTAACAGTACGGGTGCAATTCCCTGTATTTTGTACTCTTATCTCTCTGGTTCTGCATTTCTGTGCCCTCACTCTCATCGGAGGATTCATAGGGACAAGGCCTGAAGCTATTCAATATCCCATACGAACCAACCAGATTCCTCGGGAGATTCCTGCACGCAAATATCCGTCATGGCTTCTTGTTCTTGGTGCTGGGACCCTTCCATTCGGAACCCTTTTCATTGAACTCTTCTTCATTCTTTCTAGTATTTGGCTTGGCAGGTTTTATTACATTTTTGCTTCTTGCTTATAGTTCTTCTACTATTGACCATTGTTTGTGCCGAAGTCTCAGTGGTCCTTACCTACATGCATCTTGTGTTGACTGGCGATGGTGGTGGAAGGCTTTCTTTGCATCAGTTTCAGTAACACTCTACTCTATCAATTACCTGGTTTTGACCTACAGAATTTGAGTGGTCCTGTGTCGGCTATCCTTTATCTCGGTACTCAATGATCATGGCAATTGCAATCGTGCTGTCAACGGACACCATCGGCTTCATCATGTCATTTATTTTGTCCATTATCTCTTCTCATCCATCAAGATCGATTAAAAGTTTTAACCCGGCGAACTTCATCAACCAGGTGGGGCACGTAAAGAGTGTGATATCTCGATTCATCATGTCGATCTTGGTAAAAAGTTGCCGTTGGTAGATAATCGTGTTACACTGTCAAAAACGCCCTCAAAATCATTCAAAGTTGCATGTTAATTTTGGTGGTTGTGGAGTTTAGGATCTGATAGATTTAAAAGTCTGATTATTACCAGTTATGGGTTTGTTGGATTGCGCAAATCTCAATTATGTTTGTTTTTCTAGGAAGGTTTAAAAGTCTCTGAGTAGCAGTTATAGTTGGAAATCTTGTAGTTTCTCCCATATTTTTAATCAAATAGAAAGGTTTAATTTCTTCAATCACAACCATGGTTTTATGATGTATTTAACCATTTGTTCCAAATCTACGTAGCCAGGTACGAGCGCGGGATTTTGTGTAGAGAGGTTGAATTTATAAAATTTTAAGGTGGAGACGATCTTATAAAATTTTGAAGGAAACGAAAAAATTTTAATAGAAAATATCTAAGGAACTCTTATTCCTTAACCAATTCAAGGCATTTTATCAAGGGAAAAACTAAACACTATTTTACGTTCTTATCTACGCACATGCATGAAGAATACATACGTACTGTTTTTTTAGTCTTATGCAACAAGGATGCAAAGTCTTGGAACTTGGAAACATAAAGTGAGTTCCGTCTTTTAAGTACAGTTTTGCTTAAATGGTGCCAGGGGAACCTTGAACATTGTCTTAGCTCAAGCAGTCTCGCAGATCGTCGTAGTTAAAGCTAATGTCGAGGTTGTTTGGTTCATCATCACCCCAATTCAATAAGGCTTCTATGAGGTCCTCATCGCCTGGCTGAATCATCATTTCCACCTCACTGCTGGGAAGTACAGGCAAACTTTCCTCATTTGAACTAGCAGGGTAGCCATTCGGAGTCGAGAAGCCTTCGGGTGCAGGGTAAAGAAAGGTTTGGGGATGATATCCGGAAGGCACTTCTTGAATGCTGACATTGGATTGGCCTGTTAGTGCATCATATGTAGGACGACATAAATTCTGCTGGTTGAAATCAAAATGTGGCAATGCAGCCACCATGCCAGAGGGTCCGGGCATTGTTGCGAACGTTCCTAAGTCAGCCAAGGGTTGCCCGTACAAAACTGCATTTTCCTTAGCTGAACCGCCTAAATGCTGATCGGTCGCTGTCGTGTTCAGATACCTCTGTGCTTCCATGAACCGTAGATAATGGTCCTGGGTCTTCAAAATCATGTTTTTAAACTATCATTGATGCTGCAAAAAGGATGAGTTATAAATTTCCTTAACAAACTCACCTGACGTTGCCGGCGTCCACGGCTTTCCTTTTTCGATTTTTGACCTTTTTTAGCTATACTTCTGCATATCATATGCCAAATAAGCCTCAATAGTGAATAAAATCATAAACCAGCTTACCAAATAGGCAAATTAATACCTGCTGTCCCCAGTGGTCTTAGTGGTCTGAGATTCGACCAAGCTCAACGGTCTGAGACTCTGCGAACCTCCATGAAATTGAGAAACTGATTATTCCTCGCATCGGGAATCATTTTAAAACATATAATCAGCTTGAATACCAACATGTTTATTCACAAGTTGATCATCTAAGTTTAAACATCACCAGAAATGAAAAAGAAGACAGTACTTCATTTAGCCTCAGCCTTTAATTTGCCCTGATATACTTTTTTCGATAATTTGTCACGGAATTTCTAGTTATTCTCTGAGATTTAGGGATGCTAACACATTTACATTTGTTTGAGTTTGCTTTGCATCACATTTAAGGTGGATATATCAAACAAGTAGTTAATTAAGCACATGATAAAACGAGTAAACTCACATGTATAATATTCATCAAGAATGAAAGCTTCTAGGTATAACAAAACATACCATTTTTGGTTGTGTCCTGCCAGTCCTTCACTGAAAATTTTCCGAGTCAAAATTTCTGGAGTTCATTAACATTAGTTAGGGCCTAAATGATAATCCTTAAGTCGGTTATAAGTACTAAATGGAGAAATGCTGAAATTTAATATAAAAGCTTACTTGTAAATGACTCTTAACATGTAAAAGATTGAGTCCATCTAAATCCATCAGGTCAAGAATAGCCTTCGGTTTTGCTTCTGCAAATAAGATTTATGGTCGTTCTTCGGATAATTACTGGTTACTTCAAGTGCAAGGTAGCTTACCAGCAGCAACAGCAGAGTCCTGTGGTAACTCTAAGAATTCAGTAAACCACAGAGGGAAAATATTAACATAGTTGAGTTTTCAGAGCTGGAAAAACATAAGCCAAAGTTCAGTTCATGCAACAGGACTGACTACCCGGGAATAAACATCCACCGAAAAATAAGAAAAGCATGAAGGTTTATGTCATCTCGTAATTCTCTCGGAGTTGATTAGAGGATTTTGTTCTACAGCCTAGTGTAATGGTTCATTCTAGAACAAAAGTTAGTTACAAATGCAGCTCACATCTTGTTGCAAGGTTTAATTGTCTGCTAATAAGATAAAAGGCCTAAGGAGGAAAAAGAAAAGTGCAGAAGCCCATCTGCTGACTTGTAAGACGCCCAATTTTCCTGTAATGTCACCGGTTATAACAATGGGAACAAACCCAACTTCATCGAAACATCCATGTGACGTATACGACAAACTGCAGTTGGTATTGATAACTCCGTAAAAGGTCACATTTTGTACATTTTACTTAAGTTATTGAATGTCTAAAGGCCCATTTAGAACCATATAGATGCATTTAGAAGCATTTAGTTGCATGTGGTGGATTCCGTTTGCCGTGGCATTTTATTTTTACAAGCGGTACTGCTTTATGGGAAATGTACTTGTCTGATGATGTGCAGGTATTGAAAGCTGAAAGCAAGGAAAAGAGGAAAGAAAATGCCGTGGCATAAGGAGATTGCTGAGCTAAATGAAAATGATGAGTTCGACTGGCATTTCGAGAACACAAAAGGTGAAATAAGATATTTTCTAGCCAGCTGTCTCCAACTCTCCGTGCCCTCTACTCGAGAAATCCCCTCGAAGATACGCCTGGAGGGATCGGCGCTGTAATCGTCGGTCCTGCTGATGATGCCGTCTGACCTGCAGATCTTATCTGTCCTTGGGCGCCTGCAACGGGATTATGCCGGGTCTCAGCCAGCAACCCAGCTGGATCACTGCTATGCTTTGCCCGACTCTCTAGTAAATCAACCATGGTTTTGGGGTTTTCTAGGATGGTTAACACCAAGTCTTAGGGTTAATTTTCCCCTATAAATAGAGGAGGAAGCCACAATGAAGAAGACTTTAGTTCCCCACTATTTTGAGCTTAAAAATTTAGAGAGAGAAGGTCTCATCTTTCTCCGTCAATCCCACTTGCCGTGGCATTTCTCCTTGACAAGCCGAAGGGAGTGGCGTTCTGAGCATCCGAGAGGAGCCAGTTCGCTAGGAGCAGATCTTGGTGGTCGAGGGAAGCATTGAGCATGCACGTCGAAGGCTTTCTCTCCTCCCCTTAGTCCTTTGCTTTTATATTTTGTTGTTGGGTTGTAAGGAACGAATGAATCTTGCTTTGTGCTTGTTGATTTCGAACCCCACCATGAACTAATCCTATTTGGTGGGAGTTCACTTGGATGTTTAAGTTTTTATTTTAATGAATGGTTGATGTTTTATGCTTTATTCTGTTTTGTTTGTGAGACTTAATGCTTTAAGGTTGTAGGCTACGAGAGTAGCCTTTCTTTAGAAGGTACTTAGGGTTCGAGAGAATGCCTTGGCAAAATATCTTTAGTCTTTGAAAGAAGCTAGGGAGGAACTACACAACAAGGGTTCTAGATAGTAACTAGGCCTAATCCACCTTAGAGATAAGGATAGGATTTTATTCGACTAAAAGGAGTTGTGTATAAATGATATGTTAGATGTTAATGCTGCCACAAAAAGGTATTGCTGAGACATATCCTATTAACTGAACCAATAGGGTCACTGCAAGGGCTTACGCCAATCGGTTTTTGCCATGCATCTTAATCTGTCGAGTCCCTTACTAGAGATAGCATAGGGCATTTCAGTAGACTCTGTCGGCAGGGTAAGCTTAGAAGAAACACCATTCAGAGACTGGACTTAGATTTTCCTTGTGACTCCTTCCACTCATTCCCATTGCTGTTGTCATTTGAAAAAGCTAAAGTCCTATATTTATTAAATCGTATTTACATTTTATTTTGCCTTTTCATTTCCATTTGCTTGCACGTATTACATTTAATTTGCCACAACATTTTCAATTACCATCACTCTACCATTATCAATTTCTACATCAGCTATTCCATTTTGCCATAGCATCTCATTGTACATACCATCACTAACTTACTTAGGTGACAAAGTAAAGTGGCTTGACAACCTATTGATTTCCCCAATTCCCTGTGGAGACGATACTCGACTTATCATTTTATTACTTGTTCGATTGTGTATACTTGCACACATATCCACATCATATTTTAGTACTCACAAAGAGCGGACAGGTATCATCAAATACACTATGAGGAAGTCACACAATTCATCATACGTCATCGATGTTAAATAAAACGTTAGCAAACGACATAAACTATTACATGGATGAAAAGAGCACGGCAGACACAGGTTGACAAACTTCCAAAAGCATCTGGAAGTATTGAAAATATTCCTAGAAGGCAATGTAACAGTACATATGTACATATAGAAACTGAACCAATAGGGTCACTGCAAGGGCTTACGCCAATCGGTTTTGCCAGTGCATCTTTAATCTGTCGAGTCCCTTACTAGAGATAGCATAGGGCATTTCAGTAGACTCTGTCGGGCAGGGTAAGCTTAGAAAAACACCATTCAGAGACATGGACTTAGATTTTCCTTGTGACTCATTCCACTCATTCCCATTGCTGCTTGTCATTTGAAAAAGCTAAAGTCCTATATTATTAAATCGTATTTACATTTTATTTTGCCTTGACATTTCCATTTGCTTGCACGTATTACAATTTAATTGCCACAACATTTTCATTACCATCACTCTACCACCATTCCATTTCTACATCAGCTATTCCATTTTGCCATAGCATTCTCATTGTACATACCATCACTACTTTACTTAGGTGACAAAGTAAAGTGGCTTGACAAACCTATTTGATTTCCCCAATTCCCGTGGAGACGATACTCGACTTATCACTTTATTACTTGTTCGTTGTGTATACTTGCACACATATCCACATCATATTTTAGTACTCACAAAGGCGACAGTATCATCAAATACACTATGAGGAAGTCACACATTCACACCATACGTCACGATGTTAATAAAACGTTAGCAAACGACATAAACTATTACATGGAAAAAATCACGGAAGACTACAGGTTGACAAACTTTCCAAAAGTATCTGGAAGTATTGAAAAATATTCCTAGAAGGCAATGTAACAGTACATATGTACATATAGAAACTGAACCAATAGGGTCACTGCAAGGGCTTACGCCAATCAGTTTTGCCAGGGCATCTTTAATCTGTCGAGTCCCTTACTAGAGATAGCATAGGGCATTTCAGTAGACTCTGTCGGGCAGGGTAAGCTTAGAAGAAACCCATTCAGAGACATGGACTTAGATTTCCTTGTGACTCCTTCCACTCATTCCCATTGCTGCTTGTCATTGAAAAGCTAAGTCCTATATTATTAAATCGTATATTACATTTTATTTTGCCTTGACATTCCATTTGCTTGCACGTATTACAATTTATTTGCCACAACATTTTCAATTACCATCACTCTACCATCATTCCATTTCTACATCAGCTATTCCATTTTGCCATAGCATTCTCATTTGTACATACCATCACTAACTTTACTTAGGTGACAAAGTGAAGTGGCTTGACAAACCTATTTAATTTCCCTAATTCCTGTGGAGACGATACTCGACTTATCACTTTATACTTGTTCATTGTGTATACTTGCACACATCCATCATTTTTAGTACTCACAAAGAGCGACATGTATCATCAAATACATATTGAGGAAGTCACACAATTCATCATACGTCATCGATGTTAAATAAAAACGTTAGCAAACGACATAAACTATACATGGATAAAAAGCACGACAGACTACAGGTTGACAAACTTTCCAAAAGCATCTGGAAGTATTGAAAAATATCCTAGAAGGCAATGTAACAGTATATGTACATATAGAAACCAGTTTAGTATCCATAATAAGTCGCTAATCGAAAAATTTTTTGTCAGCAGCCATGAAGAAGTTAGACAAACTTCCTAGATTACTGTTAACCGATCTTTTTAACATGCGTGCATATAAGGTACAAAGTCACTTCAAAACCTAGATTGATCAAAAGAATGCCTATTTTGAGCCAATCTCACATGAACTTATCAAAAGAACGTCTCTTCATAGAAACACACACATAAGGTAAGCAGTGGGAGATGATAGAAATTTACACCGAGGGAGGAGAGAAGCAGAAAACCATCTGTCATAGATGATTTCGTTTAGCGGCGTATGCAACATACTTATTGCATACACACTTGTATTCAAACAAAGAAAGAAAACTTGCTGCATGCAGCAGTCAGAGAAAACAGAAACTATATTAGGGGGAAAAGGTAAGATGGATTGCTGCATCTTTGAATGCTTGAGAAATATGGATTTCTGTTAAATTTGGGGGGAAAAGAAGAGGAGATCCATTTTATAAATCAGGATGAAAGGATTCTACTGTAAAATAATTTAAAAATCCTTACATTTTGTTAGAATGCATGTTAACAGCAAGCAAGGAAGAACTTAATTTCCAAACAAACAAGCATAGATATAAAGGACAAGAAAAATTTTAAATTTAAGCAAGCAAAATGAAGCTAGAGAGGGATCTAAGCATTCACCATAAAATCCTAAAACAATCCACTCGGACATGTTAAGCACTTAAATTAACACGCAGGCCATTTCAGATTGGAAAAAGAAAAAAATTAAAGCTATTTATCAACAAAGATGGACATGATGTAATCATCAAGTATCAGGTGTATATCTACTATGAATGATCTAAGATTTGGAGACAATGAAGTAACTAGGGAATATGAAAACTGACTTCGAGGACCACCGAGCCAATCAACAACTTCAAGGAAATAATCATGAAGTTCATAAGTCCATCGAAGGCGAGGTCTAATCTCATTAGTCACCATGAGTATAGGTTTCTCCCTACCACCTCCCCATCACCAGCAACATGATCACCATTGATCTTAACAGGGGTAAAAGGCCCCTTGTTTTCTTGCGAAGCAAGCGATGCAGTATAATCACCGCACTGAATTTGCTGGCCATCTTGGTTATCATCCCCGTTGACATCACCTTGAGACCAGCAACCACTTGCTTCTCTACTACAAACCAATTAAATCACCTGGATTTTGATTTACATCATCAATTTCCTTGGGAACACTCTTCAATTCACTCGATATCTCAGCCATTTCTCTCTTCAACTCTTCCTTTTCTCTAAACAACACTGATTTACAGTGTTACAGACTAATCTGCAACAAAACCCAAGACTCTACACAAGATATAAACAGTAAATAAACGAGAACATGGCAATAAACATGACGTAACCCCACAACAAGAACAAACTGAGGCCCCACCAAGGGGAGGTTTTTTCTTTTTTCCTGTGAGGGCCACAGAACGGATGATTTGTAGTCATCTTGGTATTAGTAAAAAAGAAAGAGGAATAGTGGAAGTGCGAGACTTTAGAACCAGGATAAGCTAGAGAGGAAATCGAGGTGGTACTTACGCCAGAGTGAACAGCTCACGCGGTGGGGGGATTGATGACGTGTACGGTGGCGGTGTGGTAAACTTACGCGCCATGAGTGAACAATGCTCACGACGGTGGGGGGATTGCATGACGTGTACGGTGGCGGTGATGGTGGTGGTGAATGTAACATCCCAAACTATGGGTTAGTGACTAAATGGTAAAGTTTCAAAAATTTGCTGATTAAAGTAGAAGAATGGATTAGTTCAATGATTTATTTGGAAATAAATCCTAAAAGTTGTTAGTAATTATCAAATGAAGTTGAGGGCAAAATGGTCATTTGACTAATAAATGAATTAAAAATAGATATGATAAGGATATATGTTAGAGGGGATAAGGAGAAGAGATATTCTCTTCATCTTCTTCTTCTTCTTCATGTACGAGAGAGAGAAGAGCCAAGCTTGCAAAGGTAAGATTCCTTGTTAGCTGATTAT